TGGGGGGGGGGGGGCTTCTTTCCCTTGCAGGATCCTATGGATCCACCCTTGTGTGTGCTAATAAGCTGTGTGTCTTCACTAACATACAGGCACAGAAGGAAAGCCACTCCCCTCCTTCCTACTCCCCACTCCTAGTAGATGGACAGCTGGTGAAGACCGTCCTCTCTTCCTTGTGATCTTGTACTGGATAGGAAGTTCAGGGCAGGTGAGCTGAGAGAGTGGGAGCAGCTGTTTGGAAACACGATGAGTGTAAAGGCTGTGACACACCGCACGCAAAGCAGCGCGGAGCGGTGGCGCGCTGCCTTCGCCAGCAGGGTGTCATGTAATTTTCTCCCCGGCACAACAGCTTGCATAGCTGAGCGTGCCGAGATGTAAAACTTCATTTTCAGCCAATCGGCTCGCGCGTATAAACCTGCGCATCAGGATGCAACGTCTGGCTGGTTGTTACGCAAGTGCCGATTGGCTGAAGGTGCAATCATCTGCCGGACAGTTTTGCTTCGCTCTACATGGCTTTGCGTGCAGTGTGTCACGGGCTTAAGTGTTTAGGCAATTATGTAAAGAAAATACTTTGCCGGGCAATGTGTATTTGTTTGATGTGGATTCATTATTGAAAAAAGATAGAGAGTTCAATACTACTTTGATTTGGAACAACAACAACAACCTCTACACAAACAATACTGTCTGAATTCCCGGCTTCCTGGCGCAATAATATAAAAAGTAATAAGAAAATATATATATATATATTACTTGCCTGTATGATTTGAGACCTCACCAAGTGGACATGACACACAATGAAAACAACATGCCGGTTCCTTTTCTGTTATCACCTTCCTGTAACCTGGAAGGCAGCTCAGCCTACAGACAGAAGGAGGCACCTAAACATGGAAAACAGTAATAGTAATAATTAGGGAAGCACTGATACCGATACTAGTAGTAGGAAGGCCCTGTTCTGGCTGGAGAGGCCCCGGGGGTGGCAGGCTGGACATACCAAGAGTGGACAGACTTTCTTGTTAATCAGGAAGCTGGGTGGCGAGTCTTTACACGCTGCCTGGCTTCCCGGCTAATCAAGAAGCCAGGTGGTGAGTCATTACGCGCCACCTGGCTTCCTAAATGGGACTTCCGTTACTCGGTAATTGGTATTGGCGAGTACCGAAAAAAAATTATCGGTACTCGTGCTCGGTACCAAAATACCGGTATCGGTGCATCCCTAGTAATAATAGTATTAGGGTACTGAAATGACTTCTGCTTTAAGGAGAATTTGGCAGAGCAATTACTGAGGTACAAATCACAGCCTAGAAATGTACAATCTGCCCAGCATGTAATGATCTAGTAAAAAATGTATTTTAATATTTTTGTGTAGCCCCATCACCTTCTGTGAGGTGGCTACTAGAAATGTAGTGATTGCCAGTAGTCAGTCAGGCTGGATTATAATGTAGATGGTGTCAACAGGCAGACAAAGTCCTAGTCAAGGGTCAAGCTGGGATCAATACCAGATGGTATTTAATTCATGTTTCAAAGCCAGAATGTAGAGCTGGAACAAAGTTGAAGTTTGGAGTTAAATTAGTGGCAGACAGAAGTTAGGCATTTCAGCTCTCGTCTGAGTGACTTCTTCACTGAAGGATGGTTGGAATAGATGTGAAATGTCAAGAATAACCACCAAATCCATTTTTTTTAAATTTCCTACCAATTGAATAATGATCTCACCTGCTGGTCTCTGCCAGGCCACATCAAGGCACTTGAATTGATGATGAAAACGTCACCAGAAGGTGCTTTGGTGTCATAAATGCCAACCTTGACCTGTTGTACAGCACCTTCTGTGAGGTGGCTACTAGAAATGTAGTGATTGCAGAGGCTTTAGTCAGGCTGGATTATAGTGTAGATGGTGTCAACAGGCAGACAAAGTCCTAGCCAAGGGTCCAGCTGGGATCAATACCAGATGGTTTTTAGGTTGGAATACAGGCGAAATGTCAAGAATAACCACAAAATTCATTTTTTTATTTATTACCAATTAAATAAGGATCTCACCTGCTGGTCTCTGCCTGGCCACATCAAGACACTTGAATTGATGATGAAAACTTCACCAGATGGTGCTTTGGTGTCATAACTGCCAACCTTGACCTGTTGTACAGCACCTTCTGGAGTAAGCTGCCAGTTCACAATGTCATAGACTGCAGGTGGGTCTCCATTCTCATCAAAGTAAAGTTCCCTCTCGTTACTCATCTTCACCCGGACCTTCCTGATATAGGGAAGGAGCTGCAAAAAATAGGAAGCACTCATATCTGGGCCTGTGTTGCACTGACACCATCTTTTGACATCATATATTGCACTACATCAGAGACCCATTGTGAGCAGGTTAGATGGTGGAAATCTCTCTGAAGTGAACAAAATTTGTAATTTGTCACAGGAACTGTTGTCCCTATGATTTCGCTCTGCTAAAAACATTTGGATAACTCCTTATCATCTGTCTGTGTGACAATGGTCACCGGGACAAATAGAGGTGTTACTGTTTCCATCAAGGACATAGACAGCAATACAAACTTGATAAAATGTCTAACCCTTCTACCCTCCATCCACTTATACTGCATTGCATAGAGAAGCACAGAAACCCAGAGAGGATGTCACTAGGTCCATAATAAGGTATGTAATGAAAATGGAAAAGGTTTTATCGAAAATTTTTATCAGCTGTTATTATTTTGATGGGGGAAAGGAAGAGCCAACATATGCAGATTAAATTCAGCTTTAGTATTATTCACTATATTCAATAATATTAATGGTATTATTATAACACAGATTTCTTGTCCAGTAGGTCTATAGAAGAAAACACACTCAGAAAAAGGAAGATTTGCGTTAAAGTGCATGGCCAGTCAAAACTTTTATAGAGGGTTATTCACATATCTGCCAAAAGATCTAGCCAAAGCTTTGGCTGATCCTTCAGCTCACATCAGCCACCAGAGCCCTTCAGCTTAGTCGAACCAAAGGCAGCCGAGCCGAACGCATATGCCTTGGGTTGGGTGAGCCGAAGTGACAGCCAAAGCGGGGAGAGCGGTCTTCCGAAGCAGACTGAGTTCTCCGCTACTGACAACAACTAGGTGAAGCCAGCCATAATGTCACGGCTGGCTCCACCCAGTTTTTGTCAATCAATGACAGGCCAGCATCCTCAGGTCATGTGAGGACACTGGGCTGTCATTAAATGACAACAAGTGGATGGAACCAGCCGTGACACCACAGCTGGCTCTGCCCAATTGTTTTGATTTGTCTGGGACCTGTGGGCAGACTGTCAGGTGCCGGACAAATGTAAACAATCGGATGGAGCTAGTGGTGATGTCACCGCTAGCCCCTCCCAATTGGTTATATTTTGCCGGCATCTGTCAGAATGTCATTCTGCGGTGGGAGTTCGTTGTGTGCGGACGGGTCAGCGAACGGCAGCGAGTTAACTGCTGGAGTTTCGGCTCAGCCGATCCAGATGTTCGATCAGCTGAGTCGAACAGCTTCTGCACTTTGGCTCAGCCAAACATGCAGAACATGTTCGGCCAACCGAAGCCAGCCGAAGGCAGCTGATGTATTGCTGATTTTAGCTGATGTATGGCTGGAATCAGCTGTAGAGAGCCGAAGGGAATAGCCGAACGCCGTTCAGCTCAGTTCACTTCTGCTCGGTTATTCATTCGGCTGCCTTCAGCAGCTTAGTGGATAACCCCCCTAGTTTTGGATAGTGCAGGGAAGAGTTAGAGCTCCCCTCACTTCCTGTCCTGCTGACAACATTTAACCAGATTGGAAGTAAGAGGAACTCTCCAACTGCAACACAGACAGAAAAAGAGCTCTTTTTTTGTAGAGTAGAGTAGAGGCATTGCGGTCATCGGAAGCCCGCCCCTCGGGGGGCGCGGCTTTCGATCATCGCAAGTACTATCTGCCTGTCCAAGATGGGCAGATCGTACGTTTTTTTAAATTTCTTTGTTTCTGTCTCTGTTCCAGATTTTCCCTCACTTCTTGTCTTGTGAAATTGTAGTCAGCAGGATAGAAAGTTAGAGAAATTATATTTAAATAAAGCCTCAGATAGCAGTAAAAATCAGGCAGGGGTTCTTATCCTTCAGCACTCTATCCTTAACTAGAAAGAAACATTTCTGGCTAGACATACACTTTAATGTTTACAAAGAAGTTGTCAAAAGAACCGATCCCTGCACTGGCTTCCACTCGCCCAAAGGATAAAATTCTAAATATTAACAATCACTTACAAAGCCATCCACAATTCTGCCCCCGGATATATCACAAACCTTGTCTCAAAGTATCACCCTAACCGTCCCCTCCGCTCCTCCCAAGACCTCCTGCTTTCCAGCTCCCTTGTCAACGCCTCCCATACTCTCCAGGATTTCTCTAGAGTCTCTCCCACCCTCTGGAACTCTTTACCCCACCCTGACCGTCTATCTCCCACCTTTACTGCCTTTAGGTAATCCCTAAAGACTCATCTCTTCAGGGAAGCCTACCCCACCTCAACCTAACCACTCAACCATCACATACTCAAACAATTCATCCCCACACAGCTACCTCCTCATGTATCACTTGCCCCTCACTTTTAGATTGTAAGCCCTCAGGGGCAGGGCCCTCCTTACCATCTTGTCTTGAATTGTATTGTGATTGTAATGGCTTTGTTATATTGTAAAGCGCTGCACAAACTGTTGGCACTATATAAATCCTGTATACTACTACTACTACTACTAATAATAATAATAATAAAAGAAATAGATTTTTAAAGGTTTACTTTTTATTATGAGTTATCATATTAGGTAATATTTGCCATTAATTTCTAAATTATCATAGTATAGTATAATATAGTCTTCTTCTCTGTCACATTACCTGCCAGGGTTTGAAATTCCAGATGTTAGCACAACTGCCTTGAGGGCCTGTTTCTTTTCTACAGTTGTTCAGGTCTTCCAACGCTTTGCCCACTGCATGGACAGCTGTGTAGACGTTGTATGCGACTCTCACGGTAGAAGCATCGTTAAAGCTGTTCCGAACGTTGTCCAGGTTTTCATCTCCTGTACATTCTTTAGCAGCAGCCTCTGAAGATCTATTGATGGTCATTCCACTGGAAAATTTGCAACCAAAGGCTTGTTCCCAAAATATTTTCATCCACTTCCCTCCTAAAGGTGTTGAAGGGTGTATCTTGTTGAGAAAGGCTTGAAACTCAGGAACTGTTGCACTGTGGAAGGCAAAGCCAACGGTTCCCAACAGAAGCTTTGAAAATCTTGTCATAGCAGCAAGGGTTGAGGTGGACCAAGCCTCGCTAGCTATAAATATTTTACTTGAGATATTCTGCCGCAGCATCTCATCTAGGACAGGTACAAAGTCAATATCGTTGGAGAAGATTACAACGGTGTTGGCTGTTGACTTTTTGATTACATTTACAATATACAGAGCATTGCGGTCTGCCTGGTTTCTAAGAATGGTCTCTGAGAAGGCCACACAAGCTCCAGCCTTCAGCAACTCTTTTGTAACAAGTTGGATTCCCTGTTGACCATAGTCATTGTCCACAGCCAACAGTCCCACCCAAGTCCAATTCAATTGTTTTGTTAACTGAGCCAGTCCTTGGGATTGATAAATGTCACTGGGTACAGTCCTAAAAAACGATGGGAATTTTGTCCGGTCACTCAGAAGGGCACTGGTGGAGAAGTAGCTGATCTGTTGGGACAGTTCCCATGAAGAAATTTCTATGCTGATCTTAGAGCATTTAAAATTGAGACCAGGATCACGACAATATATATTTAGACACTTCTTACCTGGGGGTATCTGTAGAGGCCAAGAATGTGGGCAACTGAAATTGAGTGTGTTGAAATGGAATGTCCAATGACGGAACTCAAGGGAATATTGCGTAAACATCTGTAATTTGGGATGACACCACCAGATCCTGTCAATATCTGTAAAGTTCCTTCTAGGTCCTTATGGAGCATAGTGCAAGAGTCATATGTTTGAAAACCAATGGAGATATTGGGAAGAATGGTGATATCCTTGTTAATTTCCTCCACAGCAAATATCAGGGCATGTAGATGCTGGTAACTCTCAAAATGGAACCTAGAGGATCAAGAAGAATACAAAAGTATAACCATACCTGTGCCAATGGCGATATTTTCCAAGGGACAAAGAATAAGAACTCTTACTTCTCATTTTGAATTTTGGTGGTTAAACCCATGACCTAAACACAGTTTCAACTGAGACCGAGGAATGACAGACCCAACCTCTTTTTCACACATACCTTTTAATGGTGGGAAGATTTTCTGATTATAAATTCAATCTCAAATGCTTGCTATGAAGAAGGGGGCTCCTTGCAGCCCTGAGCCCCTCTCTCAGCTCTCCAGCCCTCCCCTGCACCTTGTGGATTCCCCCTTCCTGGCTTCCAGTCTCCCCCCAGCTACAGCAGCCTGGGCTTTGATCTCTGACACAGAACAAGTAGATTAAATGGGTCATCTGCAGATCTTGTAGGCTGTACACTAAGCAGACCTGCCTGTCCTCCCTGTTGTAGGTTGCTGAGGTCTGCTGACACTTGCTGCTCCTCCCTTCTGTGTACTTCTGAGGTCTGCAGAGATCTGTTGTTCCTCCCTGCTGTGTACTGCTGAGGTCAGCAGATATCTGTGGTTCCTCCCTGCTGTGTGGTGCTGAAGTCTGCTGGGACTTGTTTTTTCTCCTTTACTGGACTTACCCATCTTGTGCCTTGCGAACCCTGCGGGATTAACTCTTGCGTCACCACTGATTACTGGATTACCACCACTGTGACTCTGGACTTACTCTTTCCTGTGCCCCATTGCCTACCTTCTGGCTTTACCCTCTTATTGCCCTCCAACCTCCAGGACATAACCCTGGCCTTGTATACAAGAATCGCCCAATAAACACTCTGCACATCAAACCCCGTGTGATTCGTCACTGTGTGCTCTCTCTCTCTGCACTCCCAGGTTGTCACACTTGCCGAATACGTAGGTTATGGCAGGAAGACTTCCTGTACCACCAAAGCACAAGGAAAGGAAAGGAGTGAGGTGGCAGCTCATGGGATAGGTGTAGAGAGCTTCTCCGCACCACAAATTTATACCAGGATTGGTGATAATGTCAGCATTGTAAATTAGTTTAGTGCCTTCAGTTTGGGGTGGACTGATTGTTATTGTGAGAGAAATGAGCAGCTACAATAGGAAATAAAGAATTGCCTGGTCCCTGGACAGTAAACAGGCCTTCATTGCAAGATATTGGGTCTGATCACACTCCAAGAACATTCATTATCTCCGGATAACCTTTTCAAGTTGATATAAATATAGTACACTTATGAATTTTACTTTTGCCCAAAACTTGAGGTATCCAGGCCATTATCTACCATTGAACAGGATTTACTAGAAGATCACAATAGACTGGGCTAAAATTGGGAATCACATTGATTTTGTTTTATACGAGTGTTGTTAATGAGGTAAGAGCTAGTACTCTCCTTTCAAAATCCTGTATGTGTATTATCATACCCATTGACCTCAGGTGCGTGTCCAGCTCAAACTTTATTTTGCCTAAAGTAAGGTAGCATTTGATCCCCTGTCCAGTTTTTACTGCTAGCAAGGGCTCAGTTAGAGAGATTTCCTCTCACTTCCTGTCTTACTGACAACGTTGTAGAAGACAGGAAGCGAGGGGAACTCTCCAACAACAACACAGACAGCATTTAAAACACTTTCTTACTAGAGTAGAAGAAGGTCATTGGACTTTTATTTCTGTCTGTGTACCCGTTGCAGATTTTTCATCACTTCTGGTGAATGTCTTGTCTCTAACTGAGTGCTAGATAGCAGGAAAAATCCATCGGGTATTCTAACTAGGGCTGGTAATGATTACAATATTCGTGTTCGATTAATCAAAATATTTTTTAATCGATTAATCAATTAATTTCGATTAATTATAACGCACATACAGAATCAACTACATTGGCCTATACACATACAGCACAGTAATGAAGTAATAAAATGAACTAGGATCACACTAATCCAGCACGTTATTAATCTTACGTGCCCCACTCAACATGGCCGCCGCTTGAGTGGGGCAACTCAGAATAATAACGTGCTGGATTAGTGTGATCCTAGTTCATTTTATTACTTCATTGCTGTGCTGTATATGTACAGGCCAATGCCGCGGCTGGCGCTCGTGCAGAAAGTTTCTTGGGCAAACTCACTGGCACAAGTGGCTCCGTCGGCTAACGAAGGGGGGAGGAGTCCGGTGACGTCACGGACATCGACGTCACCGGACTCCTCCCCCTTCCTTTTGTTAGCCGTCACGGACATCGACGTCACCGGACTCCTCCCCCCTTCCCTTCGTTAGCCGACAGAGCCATTTGGGGAAGGGGGGAGGAGTCCGGTGACGTCGATGTCCGTGACATCACTGGATCGCCGACGGGACTCCCGGAAGCCGGCGGAGAGGTGAGTGTTTTCATTAGCGATCAAAATAATTTTAATCAATCAAAAAGTTTAACGATTAATTGAGAAATTAATCTTTAATTTCCACAGTCCTAATTCTAACCCTTGCGCTGACATTCACTTTAAATGTACTTATATTTAGCATTCTTTGCCCCCCACACCCACACAGACACACACACACACACACACACACACACACACACACATTCTAATGAAAATTACTTTCAACTTTCAAAAGCGTAATTTTTAATTGCATACCTTATTTTAGACCCAATTACATAATCTCTGGGTCTGTGTGCTTCTCAATACAATGCAGGAAGATCATGACTGGTGGGAGGGCTGCACATAGCTTCCCGAAAACATCAGAGCACCCTGCATCAGTACTCCTCTGAAGAGCCCTCAGCCCTGATGCAAGCAGTGGGCTGGTTCTTGGGAGGAGTGATGCAAATATCAAAATGCTTTGATGGGTTGTTGTCAGTCTGGAGGAGTGGCCATTGCTAGGCAGGCTACAACTACATGCAGACAACCCTAGAAAACACCCACATGCGATGCAGAGCCTCCATGATTGAAAGAACTGGAATGCAATGAATGAAAGAAATGGGCCAGGGACAGTCAGGCTGGGTAGGGAAGGGCTCAGGCTTTATCTGCAGCTTCTAATGCACATTGTGAGAAGCTCCCAGTATGCAGTGAAATCAGAGGAAGCCATTTCAGTCCAGTAGAGGAGCCGGTACAACTGTGCAAGACTGAAGGGAGGGCCGGATTTCAGCTATAAAATCCATTTTCAGTGTAGTTGAGGGATCCATAGCTTAGGAACCTTGCAGATCCTAAAGCTCACCTCCAAACAAAATGTATTGGATGGAGAAGAGAATGGTTAGGATGGAGATTGGAGGTGTTTTGGATGGAGAAGAGATTAGTTAGCCTTTACCAGGTTCCTCTAAAATGTCTCCAACGAGGACACAGAAACAAAACCACACTTTTTGCACAGTGTAGAAGGGCTGGAACTCGTATCTTCCTGTTCCCAAGATTACTGCCCCCCCCCATCCTTTTTTTGCCCTGGTGTCACAGAGACAAAGTGAGGGAAAATCTTCCCTATGGGGGTGACAAAAATAATAAAAAACCTTCCAGAAATGTTAGCTCCTCCCCAATCTATCTAAAATTTACAAAAATTTGGTCTGGTTATAGGCTTTAATCCTCAACAACTGTAATGTATTTATTACTAAAAAAACAGCATAAAAATACATAACACATATAAACATATACAAATATAAAAGTAATTCAAAGCTGACCAACAAGGCTCAGTTTTACTACGGCTGATAAGGGTTGAAACATTTGAATTATTACTTCTTTGTGCCACCTTTTCAGTTGTCCGGTATTGTGAGCTATGCATAGTCAGCTGCTCTGCTATATTGTGTCATGAAGGAATATTCATGTCATTTTGATTATGTTTTGGGGAACAAAGGAATAAAAACTACACCGTGTTTGATGAATGTGCTTCTATAATAATAATAATCTGCCAGTTCTGATTTTGGCTTCAGAGTATCTTCGAGCACAGATTTTTACATCTGGTATTTAGGGATGAGCTTTTGGGTTTGAGTGGCGCGATGGGTTTGACCCGAACCCAACATGTTCCCAATTTATTGAAAATGCAAACATTAGCCAAATTGCTCATCTGCCGAGTCTCCCTCTGTGTCCTGCCAACCAATGACACTGTACATGTTGCATAGGATCCAGAGGCATAATTATGGATGAGCTTTTGGGTTCGGATGGGCCATGAGTTTGACCTGAGGTTAAGCTGTTTGCTATTTATTAATGGTATGAACGATTTGGCCCAATTGCCTGTCTGCCAAGTCTACATCTGTGCCCTGGCCTATGGCACCCCAACCAGCTCCTGGCAACCAGGAGCTTGATGGGATGCTAGCCAAATGTGTCAGGTTGTTAGTAGTTGGGTGGGGAGATATGTATGGCCCTTAACAACTCCTGCCCGACTCCTAGCAACTTGGATGCTCTGTTGGGGCGTCAGAGACATCACTGGTTGCTAAGAGCTTGGCGGGATGCCAGCCATAGTGTCCCAGGTTGCTAAGATCCAGATGGGGAGATGTGAAAGGGCCATATAGCTGTCTTCATGGGTTGGCAAACTTTCACTAACCCGCGGAGTGGTGTCCCCCCTTCAAGTGGCTTCCCAGGGCATGTGCAATATGTACCATATGTGTCATTTTCTGGATACACCACTGATAGGATCATTGGTTGCTAGGACAGAGGTGGCCGTGGATTTGCTTGAACATTCGCGCTAACCAGATTGTTGGCTGGGTTTAATGAAAGTCCAAGCGAAGTGAACCCAGGCACCTACAGTTCATCACTACTTGTAATAGATGGAATCACTACTTGCAACTAGGGATGTTCAGATACTAGTTCCGATAACAGTGCTGATACTTGGCATTTTCATGAGAACTACCAGGGTTGCAGCGGTTGCAGCTGGGACCGGGCTCTGGCGCTCCACCACTGTCCTGAAATCATTAGTATTGTTTTAGAAAAACTGTCACATGACACTAAACAAAAATGTATCAGTACTTGTACCTGCAAAAATGGTATCTGTGCATCACTTATATATGTTTATAAAAACAAAATCATACATTAAAACAGAGATGTAGAAATTCCAGGAGCTCCGTGTGCTCCTTACAAATGACAGCTGCCTCCTAACTTTTGTATCTTTCTCTAGTCTAGTCGTGGAGCTGGAAAAGTATCTGTACTTGTACTTGTACCGAGCACTGTACTTGCTATCGGTGCATCCCTACTTGCAACATATGGCGTACAAAGCATATTATTGGATACTGAACTGCTTCAGATTTTTATTATTGTTCATATTTCAACGATCAGAACAGGTAATTACGTTGTACATGTGGTTTTTGGAGGTTTCTCAGTGAAGGAGACATGGTGGTAGACCTTATCCAAGTGAAGAGGAAACACGGCTCCAATTATGATATTCCCCGGCTTTGATAATCCTTCCAGCTCTGTAATATCCAGTATGCACCCTCCATCCATGGCATTAATAACTGGTATAAGCTGGGATAAAATGACGACACCGATTACTGCATGCATACTAGTCATTCTGTACTGATTATTAGCAAGGAGCACCTGGAGGAAGAAAAAAGGGAAATATATATATTAATGTATAACAAGAAATGAGCTACAGCTACAGCAGTTTTACAGTAGAATCATGGCGCTTCTTCCTATAACTTATAAAGAGGTTACAGCATGCAATTAGATGTAATTTAATGTGAAAGAACATGTACAAATATAACATTTTCATTTGCACACAATCTTTTTCAGCACACATTATATATACACACACACACACACACACACACACACTCTCATTTAAAACCATGAGGAGCTGCATATTATACTCACAATACAAAGCCGTGTACTCCCTTCTGTTTTGTAGTGAGAATGAGTCCTCTTCAGCTATATCAGAGTCTTATAAAGCCTCTGCGTCCTGGAGGATTGCACAGAGGACCAGTAATAATAATGTCTCTCTGCTCCAATAATGTCATAATAGGTGTGCCGGTGGGAGCAGACCCGGGAGCAGGATGATCCATTAACGGAATTATCAAATTCCCACTAGTAGATAAATATAGATTTCATACATATGAACATTTCACTGGTTGTAGATAAATGTATCCTGTCTGGGTAACTAATACGACGGACATCTGACAACCCCAAGAGGGGTGTATTGCTTCAGACCTGAAGAAGAAAGGTCAACTCTCGAACTCTTGTCTTTTGCATATTATGTTAGTCCAATAAGAACGGTATCATTGCATACTGCAATACTCTGTTTTTGTTTTTTTGACATCTTGTCTACTGGACGGCTTACCCATTTACATGATATACAGTATATATATATGTAGCGTTCACCCCCAAAGGAGCTGCTGGCTAACCGGGTCTTCCATAGTCTATCTATGGGATTTTAGCAACCTGGCTGCCCCAATAGCACTTACCACCCCCTGTGGTGACCGATAAAGCAAGATCCAGACTGTAGATGTGATGCTAAAGGAACTTAATTGAAGAACTTCAGGGAGAGAGGTTTAGGGCTAGGATCATCTAGGTTGGTGTAGACTCCTTTTAAGCGGTAGAACAAAGTAGCTGCCTCCACAGACTAGGACCTTTAGGCCAAATGTGGTTATCTGTGTTCAGAGCACCTGGCTGAGCAGTACTTGAATCAGACGTCACCAGTCATCTTCATCCTTGGTATCAGTAGTAAGTAGCCACTGGGTACCCAGACTCAGTCCTTAGTGTAAACACATGGCTTGGCCTCCTAGGCTTTAGGCCTAGCCAAATCAGTCAATCCATAGCAGTCTCACCCCCCCCCCCCCCAAAGAGGCCCCAGGGCGAAGAAGAGCCAG